GCATCTTCCCTGAATATTTTTTGCTTCTAATTTGATATTTTCTACAAAAGTATTTATGGTTCTTCTACAGTCCCATTCTGGGTGTTTGGCGTGGAGGGTCACTGTTGGCATCAAGTCCAGATTTTGAAGCAATGTGTGTGACGAAGTCTGAGTATGAAGAACTTGGTTCTGCTAGATGTCGCAAGAGATTCTTTCATTAACTATACATGCTATCAACATGGCTACCCCAATATTGTATGTATGCCTAATCTGTAATATGTAAGCGTATTTGTCTTTTTTTTTTTATCCCTTTTACCATTTCCTACAGTTTCCTTCCAAGCTAATGGCACGTGGGAGAGAAGGCAGTGGACTGCCAGTGCAAGAAGGGTGCAAATGGAGAATATTGTTTGAACCCACTGTACTTTAATTTGAATGGTTCAGCCATGGTTCTGCTCCCGTCTTTCCAGGATTCTTACTTGGGACCCAGGTGTGAATTTTGGATGATCATCCTCTGCGCAAAGATTTTATTTGAGAAACCATGTGTTGTCTAAGGTATCAGGTGAACATGATGCAGGCATGCTGGTAATATCGGATTGAATTCCATATTGGATGGCGAGTTCAATGTTTCATTGCAACAGAGCTGCATGCTTACGAGATGCGATCTATTGTGATGTCCGAAGGATTTAGATTTTAGTATAATTCTTAAGCTAGCCTTAAGTAGTTCTTTTTCACCTAAGTGTGTAATTCTGTGAATGTGAACTTTTGGGGTTCTTGCTGTATTTTATTGTAAGTAGAATTATCTCCTCTCTTTTTCTTGCCAATGCGATCTTGTTTAAATGAATGCAATCATCAAATTGCATTTTGAATCAGTTGGTCTCAAATTCCCCTTGCTTTAAGCTATTAAAGTTTGATGGTTTTATGGGATAAGCCGTTCGTCACTTCATAGAAAAGGCACTTGGTTTTGGTTGGAATAACCTATTCAATTTTCACTTGTGTCTGTTCAGCTATGGATGGTAGTTTTTAACGTTATGTTGCATTTCTGGTCCCTTCATGAGGTGTGGATCAAGAAATTCAGGGACCTGGTAAATACTGTGTTGGTAAAACTCTTCGAATGTTTGGGGTAGCAGAAACCATACAAGTTCTCCCATGCACATTATTAGTAGCTGCTAGTGCAAGGGTTAACTGTATATCTTAACACTGCCGCATTATTTTTTGCATCTCTGAATACCCACCCCACAGCAATGTTATCTTTATATACATACTAATTCAGACTCATCAAGTCGAAAGCTATAAACCTGGTTCCCATGCACACAGTTACTTTACATCCCATTGCACAACAGAAGCCACCACAGAAAGCTCAAAAGCAATAGCAAAGAAAAAACACTTTAAACCATCTCAGGCTACCAAAAACTTACCCATCACAGTGCCCATGTCTACTTCACTTTGATTCCCTGCCCAGCATCAATAAATAACTAGTAATCTGTGATTAAGAACCCATAAATCAAGCAACTACTATCATTTATAGCAAATTTACTGCATAATGATCCTTACTACGAAACTGAAACCACTGCCCCACACCACTTTCAATTTTGTAAGCAAAACCCAGTTTCCTTTTTAAGCTTATAGACGTGATATATGATCACTAAAATCAAGAGGTTATAAGACATTAATTTTCTCATCTTTCTAACCATTTAGGAAGACGTTTTTGGCATTGAAAGAGCTCAAAATTCATTCGAACGAGCAATTTTGTAATGGCTTTTAACTGCTAATTTGCATAAATTATTTATGAAATTAATGACAAAAAGACTATCTAGATTACTTTTTAATATAAGACTATGATCAGACTGAATTTAACTTCATAAATAATATATTAAATTAATTATTTAGTGGTTCATTTATTTGAACTAGAACTCCGAGGAGATGTGAAAAAAAGATAGTGATGAAATCACAAAAACGGACCTCGTATATCCTAATAATTAAAGCTCTTAGGCTAAATTATATCGATGGGTTGAGCATTTTCTTAATAAATTTGAAGAACAGTGAAAAACGTGCATGATTGGGACAGGCTCAACTTGAATCTTGAATTCCTAAATGAGTTATGAACATATTAATACAAGAGATCAAAAAATTATTTTCAACCTATAACTTTAAGATTATGATTCTTCTATTTATATACTGTTTGTCTTATTTATTTTTATATGTGAGACACTCACCTTGAATTCTTAACCGAATGAATTATTTATAAACTTAAAGAACAATAACTATATCTTATTCGAGTTATATGGAACACAATTTTCCCAAACATTTCAATAGTATGTGTGTATCTTGAATTCATTTAGATAAGGGACAGCTGAACTATTTCTGTGATATATCATTGTTGCCATTTCATATTCTGTTTCAATTGTGATGGAATGGAATGAGCAACATGGTACAATATTTATATAAAACTCTCCATACTAATGTTATTCATGAAGAATTTAGAGCATTGGAAAACCTTGAGAAGCCCATAAAAACATACAAGTTTACCAGCTTGAATCTGGTCAGAATTGGGAGAAAGAACATCATGAATGACATTGAAAATGACTAGTCTTGAGTTTTTCTTACCCATCTCCTTCAAACTTTTCCAAGCGAATCATACCCCTTTTGTTTCATGCTGGAATCAAATTCATCAGTTAAAGCTATCCCATTTCCTCTTAGACGTGGTTTCCTCTCTTCATCCAAATTTACCTTATTTACTTTATGCAAATATTGCTAGCATCTTGACTCTTGAACATCGACACTTCAACTTTCAGCAGAAGTTAACAGTTTCTTCAACTTGTGTTGAGATGACACTCACCATACACCATTTTTAATTTACACAATCTATTCTATTTTAGTGCCTAACTTTTTAGTCATCTTAACAATTAAAATTAAGCAACGGCATAGATAAACACTAAAAATATAAATATTGGAGACTATTAAAAAATAATTTTAAAAAGAATAACTTCAAAAGTTATGCACATTATAAAAGCTAAAAGCATCTTTAATTTTGTGAACGTGTGAGAGTATATTACATGGTATATATTTTCACCCTTGTGACCACAGTATTTGCATGCCAGTTGCGTATGTATCAAATAGACATCGAGAGAAAGGAAAACTGTGATACTTCTCTGAATAGATTCTGTGTTGATCAAAGTTTTGTTTCATGTAGACTGTAGGTAAGTCCAGGTTCAGTTTCAGATAGAGTTGACGTTGGCTTGGTTCTACAACAATAACATCACTATAAATATAACAGGTTCACATATGTTGCAAACCAAGAAGCCATAGAAGCATTGAAGAAGCACTTGAAAAGGCTTATCCTGTCATGTGTCCCCTAGAGTTCCCCTCAACGCTTCATTGAGGACTGATTAGGTTCACTTTCACTGGTCCTCACTGAAGTGTTTGGGGGAGCTCCCGGTGGCTCTTGATGCTTCAAAACAACTGTGTAAAACTTCCAACAATTTCGCATTTGAAAACAAATGATTACTGATGTTTTTACACCCTCTTTTCTTCCACTTCTTTTATCCTTGTAATTCTATTAATTTTGCTTTCTCTATTTTTTTTTGTTACATTACATCATTTAATCTCAGTTTACTTCTGTTTCAGTTCTTACACCTTTGTATCCTCGTACATCTTTCGTTCCTTTCATCAAAATGTAATCTTTAAAAGATTTGCTTGATTTACTCTCATCTCATAGCACAATGTAGTGTTTTTTGTTATTATTCCAGTTTCTTGATGTGAACTGACTTTATTTCAACATCTTTGTATTGACTTCACTTTATCTTCTTTTTGTACAGGCTGGTTTTGTCTAAACTATTTGTTAGAATGCGAGTCTGAAAATTTGTTAGAGATGTACAAATTCAATATTATATAACCGATGAAAACTACAAATCTGATATGTTCAAATTTTTAATTGAACGAGGTGTTAGTTATGTGGTTGGGTAGAAAACCATTTATGAAGATCTCTAATATTTTTCTCTTTATGATAACATTTGTAAGACGAAGTTGTCTCTAATGCAGAAATGGTAGAATGATGTCTTAGTTGATGTGAATCTCATCATGTTACATCTTTATAAAAGCTTTAACCTTTATTCATTTTTAAACATTTTATAAGAATGTCTGCGTTTTGTACTTCATCCTCTTTGTGCCTTCCCCAGCCACCTGTACAATCTCCAATGGCAGTACCCAAGCTCACCTCGCCACGTGTCCCGCCATAGCCAAGCGTCACCACGCTCTCTCCGCTGTTATTCGAATGTTATTCTTCCAATGTTTACACTTTTTTTTCCATAGTCTTTGTTTGATATTGGGTAAGTAAAAATTAGGATATGTAAAGAGACATAGTTTAGTAAAGAAATAATGAGCACCTCGATCAATACGTTTTTATTGCAAAATTAACTCAAATGAACGAAGACAAAAGAAAATTAATAACATGATCATCAAAGATTAACTTTCTTCTGCACTAAATCGATCGGAGAAATGGAAACAATGTTAAAATGAAAAAAAAAATGTCTGCAAACTAGCTACGATGATATTCAGCTGCCTCTGTTGTGGTACCAAGGCAAGAAGAAACCAACAATGGCCAAATTGGTACCTAGCTTTTAGAAACTAGAGTAAAAATTGGGACTGCAAAATCAGTTAATTCGTGTAGCATCTGATGATTTAATATCGATCGTTTAGCCCCTTAACTTCGACAATAATAATAGATAAGAATATACGATGAGAACAAGTAATTGCATTCTTCTAACCTTACATTGTGTATTTATTTCTTTAATCTTTTATGTGTATCATGTTCTTACACGCTTCACACACCATTGCTAATGATTGATTGCCTACGACACTAGTCCATGCAAAAACAACTGATACGGATAGTTTTGATGTAACTCTTGGCTAGCAGCAATGTGTCAATGACAGTTTTACAAACAAATATCTCAATAGCCACAATCAAACAATAACTGAACATGCAGAATACTGCTTTGCGGAATTTCTACTGCACGAAGAAATCATGCGCTAATAATTAAATGAAATTTCATTGAAGTTCATGGCACAATATGTCCTCTCAAAAACAACCGCATAAAAAAAGGAACGTATATACAGATGTTCAAAATTTGATGCACACAAGCAGATAATGGCTGAAATGGCAATGAATGAAGTAGGAGTATGGTTCAATGGGCACCCATTTGCACTTTACACTTTCTTGCAGGAATATGGACTCTCTTCTGTTCCGATTGGTTGTTTCTACATACAGTTTTTGAGGCTGCAATCTGCTCAAGAGTTTCCAAAACCTCTGTCATTGGAGGTCTTGCCTTGGCTTCGCGATTTAGGCATTGTAGCGCAAGAGTAGCAGCCATGTAAGCTCCTTTTTGTGGGTATTGGCCTCCCAACTTGGTGTCCATAATCCGAAATAGTTTTCTTTTGTCACCCAAATATGGTTTTGTCCACTCTACTAGATTCTGTTCCACACCAGCTTTTGTTCTGTCAACTGCACGTCTACCAGACAATAACTCAAGCAACACAACTCCAAAGCTGTATACATCACTTTTAGCCGTCAGCCGACCTGTTAAAATATTGGAGCTTTAGTTTGATGATTTGCAGAAAATGAGACATGTGAAAGTGGTTAGTTTCCGAGTTCTATCCTAAGGAGCAGTGCATTATAGCAAACAATGGATCTAAAATTTGCCTGTTTTGACTAGAACATATGGATTAGAATTCAGAAGGAGAATAATAATTAACCCAACTGACTCCAAGTACACGAGTATGTTATATCAGATATTTATAGTTTACTATGCAGAAGAAATTGAACTGTTGATCAGTTCAAAATGCAGATTCTCATACAATTGAAATGAATAACAGCATGTTTAAATGGACACGAATGATTATATAGGTCATTAAACAATTCCTATAAGCAATGCAACGTACCGACAGTTTACACAAAGCTAAGGAATAAGGAATTACCTGTTGCAACATATTCAGGTGCTGCATATCCTTGAGTTCCCATAACTTGAGTAGATACATGAGTTCTATCACCCGTAGGGCCAGCCTTTGCTAAACCAAAATCAGAGAGTTTAGGATTGAAATCCTGTAATTCAATAATGATAAGAAATTATTTTTCATGATATAACAGGAATGAAGATATTATTGCATCACTTGTATACTCATTAATCTTACAGCGTCAAGTAGGATATTAGATGCTTTAAAATCACGGTATATGACTTGAGACTGAGCATTATGAAGAAAAGAGAGTCCTCTGGCAGCGCCAATGGCCACTTTCATTCTCACTGACCAAGATAGAGGTTGTGGTCCCCCTGTCAAATATAATGAGCCCCATCAATCACAATGCAAAATACTAATGGATTAATCGATCATTTCTAAGTCAGTGCTTATCAAAGCATACTTAAATAATAATAGCGGAGAAGATCATTCTTAAATTAAGGAACCAGCTATCATTGTTGATATCTTCATCCTTCTGTGAGTTTCTTTGATTGCATAACCAATAAGGTAATAGCTTAATCAACCAAACTTAAAAGAAAACAGTGTAATGGTTGTGATAACTTACTTCTAAATAGATGATTCTCTAAGCTCCCTTTGGACATAAACTCATAGACCAACAGCCGGTTCTCTCCCTCCACGCAGTATCCAATCAATTTAACAAGATTCTGATGGTGAAGTTGCCCAAGGTAGTCCACTTCAGTCTGGAAAATGATTAAAACTCCAGTAATTAGACCATTAATAATATTCAAAATATGATAAACTTTCTTAGGGAAAGGGGAAGGGGAAGGGTAGGGTTCTAATATAAAGTATGCTTAAGCAAGCTAGGGCATGGAAATGGAAATAAAACACCTACCAACCACTCCTTATGACCTTGTAACCCTTCAGGCTTGAGTTTCTTAACAGCAACTACCATTCCTGATCCAGGTTTTGAAGCTGTAAATGTGTGTTCATCAATCCACCCCTTGTAAACACAACCAAATCCTCCTTCCCCAAGAAGACTGTCGGGGCGAAAGTTTCTGGTGGCATTCTTTAGCTCATTAAAGGCAAAGGCCTTAAGATTTGGGGAAGACAAGATTTCACCCTCGGACCTTGGTGTGGGAAGACTTGAGACATCACTTGCTTCACAGTATGATTGAATAGATAAGTTGGAAGGAACAGATAAAGGACTAGTCTTTGAAATTCCTGATGCAAGCAGAAGTGGAAACAGTTAGTCCATTTATGCTTCCATTTCACAAACAAAAACAGGCACTTTTGCTAATAATCTTAAAATTCAACCAACTGCACCCATGTAAGATAATGTTCACACCTTTCGCATTACAAGGAAATGTTTTTTTTTTTTTTTATTTGATAAGCAACCAGAAGGAAATGTTTAATAACAAATAAGCATCCATTCTACAATCCTAGTTCAAGTGATCCCAATCCTAGCAAATACTAACCCAAACAAACCCAGCTTGCAGCACCCAAAAACAGAAAGTAGACAAAAAAGCTAGAAAACCGCAAAGAATTCACAATCTACAACTCCATCAAACCCACAGTTATGCAAGCCATAGCTTAAAAAACCAACTTTGACAAATGACAAAGGAAAATCACATACACCCCTTCAAAACATAGAAAAAAACAAGGTTCTAGAAAGTGGTTGGAAATGACGATTTCAGTATGATACTTAAAATTTTTTCCCTCATCGCTAACACATGCAGCTAAATCTAGAGTATTTTTTCAAAATTTCCAATTATGTTAAGGGTGCAAATGAAACTGCAACTGCAATCACAACTTAAAAGCTTGCAAAACATTGCACGGCGAATGAAGAATTGCTGACAGAAAAAGAAAAGGCAAAAAGAAAAAGTACCAGAAGGGGTTCTGGAACTGTGAGCTGCTTCTACTTTAGCCGAAGAACCTAGACAGTTACCCATTATCCCCTGGCACAAACTCAACTCGCACACTAAACTTGTGTTTGCTTAAAAGATACAAAAAGGTGACTCTTTTTTCCTCTTACTTATGTGGGTTTGTATCACATTTTGATGGAAAAAATGGTAGAAGAAAAAGAAATGAATTTGTGTTTGACAAGAAAACAGAGGGAACGGAAAGAGAGGAGAAAGTGCATATGAATGACATAAGACATTGCGATTGATTGAAGCCAAGTCGTGTTAAAGAAGACACGGGAAGCGCGTGGGGACACACTGCCCTCTCATTACGGGCTCTTCACATTCTGCATTTACTATATTATCCCTCTTTTTCCAATCTCTTTCTCTTTTTAATGCGAATGGGATCTTCTCGTTGGCCGTGGCACTGTTTAATATTTACTTTTTTTTTTAGTTTATCATTTTTTATTTCGAGTGAATCGAATCCATGTTTTTTTATTAAATAATTTTGAGATTTGACTTCCACCAATGAAGATTTCAAAGATGTGTTTTTTTTTTATTTTTTATTAAATTCCGGTTTATTTAAAACTTCAATATCTTTTTGAAAACTTCACTTAAGTATCACTCAACATAATTTTTTAACTAAAATGGGAACACAAAATAAATTTAGTGAAGTGATACTATCAATCCCTTTTCTAAATGAAACACTAGATATATTTTATTCAGAATAAAATTTATCAATCTAATTATGAAATTTTATTATATTTTCATTTTAAAAAATTACTCTCGTTCTTTATTTTCCTTATATGTGTGTTTTATGTTTCCAGAGACTTATTTAACCCCAAAGGTGTTTACCAAGTCGTTTAGAAATTTTAGTAGGTTTCATAAGGCAACAAATACATCTAATCAATTTTTGTGTGTTATATTTTACCCAAATGATTAGTTTTTTATTTACGGTTTTATATTAATATTATTTATATAAACACAAAAAATTATTGTTTTTTGTTATTCTTCATTATGCTCATTTTTTTGTTGTTCTCTCTTGAACACTCTACCCTTATTCTATGAGATGTAATGTTCAAAGCAAGATAAGAAAAGTTAGGAGGAGAAAGTGAGTGGCCTGCAACCTAAGGAGAGAATTGAGGATAGAATTGTTTTGAGCAAAATGTCAAAGAAAAGAATAAAAGGTATAAAAGGTTTAAAGAAATGAGTGCATGAGGAAGATGCCAACTTAGTCAACTAAGCAAAGACAAGTTGACCACGTATGACAACCAATTCCATTGTCTTTCACTCCAATCTAATCTAACACCATTGCTATATAACATCCAAATTAGCCGACGAAATTTCCTCACAAAAATAATAATTGAAACGTAACTTACAAGACTCTTCAAAAATCTCTTTATTAACCATTTCATTACCTAATAAGGCTTTCCTATTAAATAGTAAAACTTATCCCTCTTTGAATAGTTATTTTTTAATCTCAAAATCTATTCAATGACATAATAAGACTCCTTATTCTAGATATTATTTTTATTGATTTCCCCCATAAATATTAATGTTCTCATTTTAAGTTTATCAGTAATATTATTATAATCAATTCCTCCTTATATGAAATATATTTTGTCATAAAATTTTCTTAAGAATTTTATCTTTAAAAAATATCTTGAATGAGAAAAGAAAAAAAATATTTAAACTGCTTTAACGGTGATTTCAAAACAAAATAAAATTACTCAGCTATATGTTAAAAACAATTATAAATTCAAAGTTAAACATATACATCCTACAAAGATTGGTAATCACCTTGTTGATGAAGATGAGTGATGTTTCATATAGCTCAAAATTAAATAAAATATTATTTTAATTAGTAATTTATATTTATATTTTAATTATTTACTGTATATAAATAAAGAAAATATTGTGAAAATTTTTCAATTGTTTATTTCTATTCTAGCGATAACTGTTCTTTTATTGATTTTTTCGTCATTTACAGTTTTTTTTTTTCTTAAAAGTTTATTGTTCTTTTTTTAACTTTATCTTGAAAAGGCTCATCTATTATGACGCATTTTTGTTTTTTTTTTCTCAACATTCATTGTTCTTTTTGCGAAACCTATCCTATTTTGAGGTTATTTTGTCATTTCCTTACTATCTATTTTCTCTTTTTTATCTCTATCGTGAAAAGACTAATTTATTATGACGCATTTTCAATTCTTTTTTTTTCTTAATATGCACATTGTTATCCTTGCTAAACCTATGTCATTTCCCTCTATACATTTTATCTTTTTCAACCTAACCTAAATAGACTTATCTATTACAGTACAGAGAGTTGGTGGCTTTCCTAGTTGACTTCTTGAGTTTACTTTTTATTTTACAAAATTACAAGTGTGTATAATTTTTCTTCAACATATATATATCTGCTGAGATATAAAAATTTACAGAGAAGTATTTTTTTAATATACTACAAACTAGTTATAATAAAATTTAATCTATACTTTGTAAACCAATTAAATTAACTAGTTATAACTTGTATTATAGTCACTTCTAGCATCCTAAACAATTTTGGTATCCTCTAGATACACTGTCTAGTTGAATATCACCCACTCGTGGTTGAATATTATAGTCATTCCTTGCGTCCTAGACAATTTTTGTATCTTACTGTCTAGTTGAGTATCACCCACTCTTGGTTGAGTATTATAGTCACTCCTTAACACCTTAGACAATTTTGGTATTCTTTAGATACACTGTCTAGTTGAGTATCATTTACTTTTGGTTGCAAGTGTTTTAGTTTTCTTCAAAACATACAATAGATCCGTTGCGGGATACACTACAAGGTACAAATGTTTAACTCTCAATGAGAGAATATTTTTAAATTTACATTCTAAAGTAACTCTCTAAGAGAAGATAAATGTATTAAGGCATAGTCTTATAGCTTGGAGGTTGCTTCCTTTGCTAAGAGCATCAGACGATGTAATATTGATGAGCAACAACATTTATCTTCAATCTTCATGCGTGTGCTTGCTCCTTTCCTCATATCTTTAGTGAGGTTGTTCCTTTGTTTGGAGCAGCATTAGAAAATGTAAGGATGAAGAGTAGTAGGATGAATACTTGCTCTTTTTATCTTCTCTTCTCTTCTTCAATGAAGTTGTTTCCTTTGATTGAAGAGATGTATATGATGTAGGCTTTGAACAATAACATTGTTGATCATTCAACTGATTTTGATTTGGATGCTCCTTCTCTTCTCTATTCCCTCTGGATGGAAGAGCTTCAAAGAATGTGTATGAGCTTGATGGGCAATAGAATGAATGTTCAATGCATACTTTCTTTCGTTTCTTCTATTATTTTCATTATGCTCTCAACTTTATTTTTCATTTCATTTTAACCTCAACTGATTCAGCCTCATTTCATATCTTCTTTTCATTTCTTCATCCCAACTCGAGCATAATACTTTAATGCTCTGTTTTTCTTTTCTTCATCTCTCTTCTTCAATCTTTCTTGGAAGCATCAAACATTATAAGCTTGAAGGTAAGATGAGGTAGAGTCAATGACTGATGGTTTTTCTTGAGCACATTCTCTCTTTCTCTCTCTTTTTCTTCTCTTCCTTCTTTCCTTTATATTTCTGCTTCAACCATTCTTCTATATTTTTCTCAAGAGCACCAACTTTCTTCTCTACAATTGATCTTCTTTATATAGGACCATTTTAAAGATGATCGTTAGATATTAAGTTGATTTTTCAAAAGAGCAGACAACTTCTAGGTGAGAGGTCAAACTTATGTCTTTTCATCAAAGGTACAGTGCTTTATCAGATTTTTCATTGAAGAGTGGCTTGTACAACTTTTTCAGAGTAGAAGGCTTCAAGAGATTTAATCCAGAATGTTCTTTGTTATTCAGCGTGTGTAGATGTTCTGATTAATCCTTTGTGTATTCCTATTCAATACAAATAACAATGACAAGGTATGTAAGCAAAATAGTATTTTACAATACATGCATTAAAAGTTTTGATCGTTTATAATCGTTAACTTGTAATGCTTGATCAAAACATCTTGTCATTCATCTTACTAGTAATTAATGTATTGTTCAAATATATCATTCAAGAAAGATTGGAGGATAACACTTTTGACAGTAGACGACATAATTCATTAGACTCTTATGAAAAGTTGTTTTTTATGTATGTTATATCAAATTAGACGATATTCTTTATGGATACTTTTGCTTACAACACTGTTTTTTGATGTAAAACATTTAAGTTTTAGTGTTATTATCATTCTTAATCAAAGATATTTTAGAGCTTGATAACAAATCCTCCTATTTTGCACATATTTCTAAGATAGTTCCTTTATGACATATTTTTCTTTTTGTCTCTCCATGAGTGCAAATCCTTAGGTATGTTATCTCTACTGCTTTCATGTAAACTTTTCTTATTGACCAGACGCTTCTTATAACCAATGTGTTAGACGATATAGATTTTAGAGAAGCGTTGTTGTGTGCCTAATTTGACCTCATTCATATTCCCTGAACGCACAGTTGCACCCCCACCTCATGTCAACTCAATATTCTACCTAGTTATACCTAATTTGACAGATTTGTTAGTCACTATGTTATCGGTTGAGTATCTGAAAAAGTATTGTAGTATATTTTTTTATATCACTAAATATTCACATATATATTTTATATTTTTTAATTTAAAAAAAATATAAACTTTTAGATTAGATTAAAAAAACTTAAGTACAATTCAAATCAAATTATATGAAATATTAGTGCAAATAAATTTAACTTTTTTAGAAATTAAATTTAAATGAATTGCAACAAAATATATATTCTAAAAATTTAATCTTTTACAAAATAAATTCAATTTTATAGGTCTAAATAAAAAAATAGAAATATGTGAACATAAATTTTAAATTATTCTTAAATGATTAATAGGTTTTCATTATTAATTTTATTTTCATCATTCAAATTTAAAATATTAATTAACTAAAATTCAATAATAATTATTAGGTATAATTAAATATATGATAGTTTTATGTATTTCATCAACAAAAGAAAATTAAAAGTCCATATCTGATGTGGATAGAACTAGGTAGAAGAAGATTTAGTTAATATGAGAGTGGGGGTGCGGCTGTTGCCGTTCAGAGAATATGAATGAGATAAAATTAGGGTTTGGAAAATAAATTAAAAATTTGTGGTAAAAGTAAAAAAAATTAACATTTAACCTAAAGATAGTTTTGGAAATAAAAAAATTTGATAGGTGTAGGGAACATGCCTAGTGGTGGAGGGAGCAACGCTCTTAGAGTACTCATAAATATTAGATACGCACGGCTTAGTAAATACAACACAACTATAACAATAAGAATTGTATTGTGATTGACAAACGGTTAATACACATAAAGTATTTTGATTCATATAATTTAGTATACCAACTACTCTGTGTGTTAAGTTTTTCAATTTAGAATTGATTCATATATCTTTTTATACCAATACATTACATCATACATGAGACCTGGGTTTTTCACCCTTTTTTCACCCTTGTATGATAGATATAGATATATATATATATATATATATATATATCTATCTATATAATAGATATATATATATATATATATATATATCAACTAGATGTTGCTTTCTCGTTTCGTTGAAACGTTGCAAATTTGGTGTCGTGTTTTTCTCAACAACAGTTCTCCAAGTTTTGCAAGACGTGAGTTTCTCTAATAGTGGACTTGAGTGAACGTTGCAAGATCTCCTATGCAACTTTTGGGCTAATCCGTTGAAGCGTTGAGATGGAGGGCTTCTCCTTGCACCACCACACCCTTCTCCCTACACCTCCCCATTCCCCATTTACCCTTGACAGAAATTTAAAGTTCGTGGTTAAAAAAATTTGTTTTTCACCAACGTTGAACAAGCTCTTTTAAAACGGTCCTCACTATATAAATATGCACCCCCACACCACGAAAATCACATTTCGTCTTCTTTCTCCTTCACTGTGCTACCCTTCATTTCGTGGTGGTGCTTCTTTGTGGTGGTGTGTTATTGTGCTGTGTTTGTTTGGAGGTGATAACTTCTTAGAAGAGTTTGGTGGTGCAACAACGTGGTCCAATGGTAGTGGTGCTGGTGCAAAAAGGTGGTCCGGTGATGGTGGTGGTGGCAATAGGAGGAAGTCGTCTCAGGTGCGAAAACAAGATGAAAAACCTTTTAACGAATATGAAAATCCGTCAACGGATGTCAACATCCATTGAAGGGTTACCCTTTAAATTTTGTTAGTTTATAATGTTAGAATATTAGTTTAATGTTATTAATTCTAGATTATTTATGAAGTTAGTTTAATAGCTGCCAAGGCTCCTTTGAAACACACCTTTCACATATCTTCGTTTTGTTCATGGCTCATTTTCTCTTCTCACCTTTTATGTTTTTTTATTCTTTTCTTAAATCTAGGTTATTTTGTCTTATAAGAATATTTTTTTTAGTTCTAAAATCTTCAAAAAATAATTTAGAAAATTTTTGTTATATCTTGAAGAACTTGTACAGCAGATAAATCCTTCTTAACAAATCCTTATTAATAATAAATATACACGCACATCAAGAAATCTACTTTAATTGCAATTTTAATTAGCTTGAACAACACTTTAAAAAATGTAGAGTAGGGTTTAAGTTTTTTTTTTTCAGGATTTCGGAATATTCAATTAAAACTTGTTCTCTAACATTTCAAGCATTAAGTTAATAATTTATTAGACCCTACAATTTCAATTAAAAATTTCAAGTTCACTCAAGAAAACATTAACTCTAAGAACAAATTGATTGAATTTCAAGTTGTCTCCCACTTTTAGAGTTCCTAGTAGTGTAGGTTAGGATATTCAATCAAAACTTAACTTGGTGTCTACCATATCAAGGACAAGAACAATAACTTCAAGAGTAATTGAAGTAATGAACCTAAAGCTTTGATTGAAATTTCAGGTTCATTCAGAAAGCATAAGCCTTAGGAACATAAGTGTGTTGAATTCGAATATAAATGTCATTGTAGCTTATATATTCTTCAAGTTCAACCGTAGTTATACCAATATTTAGATTTGCATCTAGGATATTTTAACCACGTAATTGGATAGATGCTTTTTTTTTTAGAAGTTAAGGAGATGTTGACTTCTGTATTTACTGTTCTTTGGTTTTTGTCTGATTTCTAATTTTATAGATTTCTACAGAAAACAGTGAGAACAATTTATGTTTTCATTTTTTGCTTTAACTTTCTGTTACTCTTTTAATTTACAAAATTACTACCTTGTTTTCAACTAGTGTTCTGTTTTTAGAAATTTATACAGCAAACAAAAAAAAAATGTTTCCATAGGTTGGTGTACAGAATTTTAAAAATAGAAAACATGTTTTCCATAGATGTCTTTCCTGTTTCCAACGATTTACATACGAACTAAAGAAAATTAAAAGTTGTTTTTTATCGTTTTTTGTCTTTTACTTTTTTAAGAGAGAACAGATTGAAAAGTTGTGCTAGTTCTTTTATAAATGTAGAGTAAAACCACAAAAATACAAACAGAAATAGATAGGTCCTAAAAGTTTATGCTTCATATCTGTTGATTGGTACTATGAATTATAATTATCAAGTGACTCTGTATTTGACAGGGTTAGTTTTACAGCATGCAGAGCCAAAACTGTATTCTGCGTACACTATTTATTTGTATGCTCTCATTTTTGTGTCACAAAAATGCTAAAGAAAGAAACCTTGCTAAATATTTGAACGTGATTTTGTTCAATTAGTAAGATCTGTTATCGGGCTAATATACAAGGTTTGGAACTGTTCAAATAAAGATTTTAGTTTGAATGTCATTTACTCTTCTTTCAGATCTGGAAGCTCAAATTTCAATAGCAATGATTACTGCGCTAAGTGGGGTATAAAGAACAAAAGGAAAAGAGTTAGAAATTATAAACTTGCTGGATCTTGGTGGGTACACTATTATTATTGAATTGTTTATCATAAACTGTCTTCCAAATTAAGCTTACTTACAGAAGTACGTTTACAGAAAAATTCTTAGTTCATCTTCCCATCTTGAGATTTCTTGGGTCCTTTTCATCTAAGTATAAAAGACTAAAGTAGAGTTCAAATGAATGATGACCAAAATATCTAAAATGATGCAACGTAGAGAGAAAATTCTTGTTTCTTCAGATTTTTCCATCTCATAGCTGCAGTGAAGCCAATAGAATTATGCAAGTGACATTATAAATTTTAAAATCAATTAAGGCGTTTACTAGTTCATTTGTTTAAGCGAATTGAATTTGAGTGAGTGGAAATTGGTTGGTCAAACCAAATGAGTCAAAGGGAGTCTTTGGTGGGCAAAGTTAACAACAAAGGTATGCACTTTATTTTGTAGGACGTTCCCTCTCTCTTTTTACCAACTGCTTTAGCCTTGTCATCATTACCAGCGTACTGTATACCATCACCAACCATTAACTTGTTATCCTAATTAAATATAAGAATGCAGTGAATGTAGAATCATTCTTCCACACAGCAGCACAAGACCATTGCTCATGCCAAACAAACCATATCAAAGAGAAAGGTATGCTTTGCCTCTATCAGGTCAGGGAACAACTGACCTGTTATTTGTCCATTTCTTGTTCTGGTTTCATGATGCTTCCTGGTATTTGTCTTTACCATTATCTTTTAATTTTACCTGGAATATGATGGTAGGAAAATCAATGTGCTAGATTCTTAGTTTGGAGAATTCTAACAGAAACAGTATTTGCACACCAAACCAAAATGCATTTCCACTCACTTATGATTATGTTTCAGTACATCAGAAGCAAAAGGGAAAAATATTTATTAAATAACCTATGCACACTCCAAACAACAAATTAGAATCCAAGTTGCCACTGTCAAGTTTCTTCTCTCTCTTCTATCTATGCTAATGTATTCATACACACTCAGGAATCAGGATGCTACTGATTACACGGCAAGCTCTGTACAAAATTCGGACAAAATGCTGATTGCTGGATTGGAGAAAAACAAACCCAGAACAATATCAAAACAAAACAAACCAAAGAATGACACACTAAGCAATCCAATTTTATGTGCAAGTTTCAAAAAGGTAACTTTTGAGATGTTAGATATGTTGATGGCGGCAAGAATGTATCATAACATTCTTGGGGAGCAGCATATGCCTTCCAAAACTTTAGGCAGAGTGAAATTGTAAATTTTCTCCAGATGAGAAAGTAGGATTCAAAACGGATCAATATTTGAGTCTCAGATGATTCATAGACTTGGTAGTAGGGCTCTTTTGCAGGGTGGTGGTTGAGATGAGTCAGCACTTGGGTTGATGGATGGAGATTCCACTCCTAGTGTTTTCCTTAGGAAGTTCCTTTCCTGAAAGAACAAAATTTAAAAATAAAGGTTAGTCTTCAGTGTCAAGCTTCGATATATTCTATTACTTGACGAAAAAGATAGAAGTGTCATTACCAACAAAAATCTATGTATGTGTGAAAAAAAACCCCAACAGCTTCCACTAATCTTGCCAAATAATTCAATGTTATTTGCAAGAACATGGCTTCTATCTTCTAGCACGAATAGAAACTATGTGTTTTATTGGATAAACTAGTCTATAAACTAGTTTTGCTTTTTACGGTTTGTCTTTCCTTCTTATTTCCTTCTCCTGTAAGTGTTTACGGAAAATTTTATCCAAACAAACCCTACAGTTACACCTCTATGTGCTCCAGCGTATTGCAAATTTTAGTAAGATCTTTCCCAACTAAATATGTATGCCAAAAAATCCAAATTTCTCTTAGAAAAACCTCATGTCATATACACACATGTTGTATTAATTTTACCAGCACATTATATGCCACTCAAATACTTGATTTACCACTTTTTTACCAGCTTCAACAATTGTATGTAGGGATTGCCTAAGTATTTCAAAATCCCAGCTCATCTATACCTGAATGGACTTAGAAGTAGCAATAGATGATATTAAGAACCCTTGAGTTAAGGTGTCCACGGTTTCATCTTCTGAGTATTGACATCAAGGATGGAAAATAAAAAGCTAGAATTATTTAATTTATTATTGATAGATTAAAAGACACGACTCTATTAATCCAACAACTATTCATGTTAAGTTTCTAAAGATAACAACTTAAGTTCACCGCTTTAACATCACCTGCGCATTGATAAGCTTTCCCCCAAAAATCCCTAGTATAACAAGCTCTGCCATTAAGTTAAAAAGCTCCCTCATTTGCCTACTTAATGTCATATTACTAATAATATATAATCATGCTAGTTATCTCTATTAATGATATAATCATTCTGTTGGCCTTAAAATTGTTCAATGCCAAAGTGCATGGCTGACTTACACTTTCTGAAAACTGTGGGCTGGGAATTCCTGCTGCCAAGGATCTGAACAGAGGGGTTACTTGAATAGGGGAGTTGAACTCCAATCTTGATGAGGTAGAAACAATTCCATCATTGTTTATCTGTTCCTCACAATATGGCAGTACATCTGCAAGAATACACATAGTATTAACACTTACCATTTCCGGTATTAGCATATTGGATAAAGCATTTTATTTTAGAAAATATATAAAACTAAGCCTTCATATAATTTCCAGCTTAGGAATAACTAAACACTTAAGAGGTAAGTTATTATCTGGTTATTATCTGTTTATTATCTGGTTATTCATCAACCCTTTGAACATAATTTACTATTTATGTGGTTAATTGTTACTAAACTGATATTTTATTAAAAATCCTTTCCATTTATTTACCTTGATCTACATTTGCAGTACAAAGAACCCCTTTATCATCTTTGTCTACTCCTTTTTCATCTCCAACCTGTTCAGACTTCATTTCAGTTCCAATATCTTGATGCAATGTGTGCTCTGATTTATCAACGGCTGACTGACCCAGGAAAGTTGATTCTGTACTGTATCCGGAACTGGCTGGAGAATCTTCGTATTGTTCCACTTGCCTAGAACATATTCAGAAACTATTAGACATTTCGCAGAGGCCACAGGCAAAACAATAGTTTTAAAGATCTTAATGTACCTCCAACAAGCCTGGCCTTCCTCATTACTGCTTTTCAAGTCCTCATTGATATCTTTATCTACAAGCCGTAAATCTGAAATCTTGTGACCAGGAATGTTTGATTCTTTGTTTCGGTTCAGAAACTCTTGAAGAACCTACCATCAGTTCAAATGAACATACAGTGTAAAGAGTAACACTTATCATATGTATATGGTCAAGTAAAAAGACATATCAGCTCGTGATTGGTATCATAAAATCAAGCGGAGTTTTCAACATTTGAATACACGCTAGCAAGGTGACCTATGAAACTATTTCAGAGTTCTCATTGGGAAGATTAACAACTCATTTGATTCATGTTTTCCTTTAAATAAATGCTTCAGATTCATAACGACATAAATTGCAAATGTTTTAGTCAAGAAACTAGGAGCAAACAATGCCTAAACTTTTTCAATTAGCTTTTAATGCTTACCAGGGTGCTATAGGACGAAAAAAAGATACATGTGAAACGACTTTCAATTTTTTATGTAAATAGGCTAACATGACAAGTTGCTTGTTGTTGATGCTAACTTCTAAGGATATAACTGGCACTTTTAGGGCTTTACTCATCACAAAAAGTAGTAAGTTCATTTTTTAAAGAAGAAAAAGTGGTCAATATTCAAAACTGAAGCAAGTTTAGAAGTTATAAAGCCTCACCTTCCAAGTGTGTTCAAGACTTTGGTCCACGTTTTCGGTATCAACTTTTAGAGCTAGTGAACTTAATAACTCTGCCTGTTTCATCAATACACTTCTCTTTGGGTCATCCCTTTTGAGAAATGTTCCTTGAATCTGGTCATCCTGGGCTGCAGAAGCATGACAAACCATCTTACAATGAGAGGATGGCTGAAGTTTTGTTTGCTGAATATATTAATTATATCATGTTTTCTTTTTCAAGTTTTACTATACATGAATCAAGCTCCAACACTAAAGTTCAATTCAAAGATAACTACCAGAATTGAACTTGGGACTGCAATCATGCTGATGGTCTGGCAAGCTGTTTGAGTTATGAGAGTTTTGAGCTAATACTGCAAATGGTGGTCTTTGCTGTTGATTTATTGGAGTTCCATTTCGTAAATGTGATCGGTCTCCAAATTCGGTTTTTTCTGCATCATCAGGGATATGGGACCTCCTATATAACCATAGGATAAAATGTCAACACTTCTCTTAGTAGAATTTGAGTATTTTGATACATAGAGTATACAGTACCTCATCCTTTTAATAGGTACTCCAGATTCAGCTGTTGTATCCATATTATTATAATGTTGGAACATAATTCTCTTGCTATTTGAATTGATGTAAGAAGTACTGTTCTCTTTTGCTAATGCTGCATATTTTTCTTTCTTTCTGCAGAGTGTGGAGAAACGGTTTTTCACGGCATTATCCGTTCTGTGCAGAAAGCAATGCATTAAATATTAAGCATCAATAAAATGACTATCACATATTCACATGCACTCAAGAAGAAAAAAATCAATTTCTGGTTACCTGCCTGAAACCACCTTTGCTATTTCTGTCCATCTGTTACCAAATATTTTTTGAGCCTACAGAGAAAATGGTAAGAAATAAAATCACAAATGCCTCATTTATTCATGTGTACTGAAGTCTAGTTGATGTTATCTGGAAGAGTATGCATATATATACATGAGATCTTGGTGATTTGGTTGTAACCAACTTCTGACAGTAGGCTAGGCTGCTTCTCAGTGCATAAGTTCGTCAATAGATTGTCTTCTGGCCAATGAAGACAAAGAAGTCTTACAATGTGGCTTTGGACACAACTCATTCCTATAAAACTGACTTGTAAAGGGAAATTTACTAAGTTATATACAAAACTAGATCATGTTATTGGTCAATGTGAACCTCCACCACACTCCCTAACATTGAAGACTACATATCTTGACTGTGAAGCTTGCAAGACTTTGAGGATAGTCCAACAATAACTCAATAGCAAGTAGCCTGATAAACTCAACAACAATGACAGGATAAACTCTGGTATCATTTTAAATTTGGGCTTTAGGCCTAATTCAACTCTACAAATTTAACTTGCAAGTTAAGAATTGTGTCTGACTTGTACCTTTTAATTTAGTCATACTACTATTCAAAATGAACTCCAATCTTTTAAAGTTCCATATGCTTCATCATAAAATAAGCTTGTTAAGTTGGTTCTGTACACAGAGACCATCATTACCTCACATAAGAGCATGTCTTCCTCGGCTGACCATCCACCTTTCTTGAAATCAGAATTCAAGTATGTGTACCATCTGAAATATGATTAGTAATAGAAGGATCAGAATGGTAGTAACAAAGAACCCAACAGATCTTTTGAATCAGTGAAGATAAAAATTAAAAAATTGTAGACAATTGGAAAAACCTCACCTTCTTCTGCACTGTCTTGTCGTTTTATCTTTAAACTTAGATGCAATAATTGCCCAACTGCATATAATTAATTGCAATACAAAGCCCTTTAATGTCACTCGTCAACGAAGAAAAGAGTCGTGTTTATCAAAAAAGAAGAATTAGTAAAAGAAGAATGAGTACTTTTCAGTTCCATGAATACCAATCTGCTCCCTTAGTATATCATCCTCCTGAAAAAATCTCTTATCCATTGTTAGAACTAAGTAGATGATATATATTTGCAAGTAAACAGAAGAATTAAAATAAACGTAGAGAACTAAAGAGAGAAAGAAACACCTCTTGAGTCCAAGTCACAATGTGACGCTCCTTCTTTTTAGATTCTTCATTGTGGTCCTTCTTTTTAGATTCTTCACTGTGCTCCTTCTTCGTGGACTCTTCATTATGGTGCTGCTTCAAATCTTGCGGCATCATTTACCACAGAGAGTGCTTATTATTCTATCGGCGTCCCTCTCTTCTTGAGGCTCCTTCCTTTTGCCTGAACCGGCAAACTTGCATGCTGCCAAAGCTTTATAATTAGAAGCTTTTATGTTTTGCAAAAAAAAATCGAAAAAGAAAAGAAAAAGCGAAACCATCACTTCTCCCTTCTCTTTCACATCCACCTTTACACCTTAATAAGCAAAAATCACATTCCCAAAAGCCCTCACCAAAAAGTATTCAATTGAAAAAGGGAAAATAAAATTGCTATTATCATCAGTGATCAATGAAGAACAAAACAGGAAAACACAATCGAATGTTAAAATTAGAGAGCCAGAGCTACACGAAAAAGATAGATAGATAATGGGTAATGAAAAATACTTAAAAGGGGTACATGGGATTGGATAAAAATCTAATTTTTATCCAAACCCAACAAAGTACCAACTACCTATTTATTTCATGGAGTAGTGGCATGTAAGAAATAACCCAGAAATGGTGGGGGATCTAAACAAATTGATGAACTTGGAATATACCCAAATGAGTAAAAGAAAGGGTGAAATTGAGAAATACCTCGAATAAACTACGTTTGGATTCGTGATACGTATTCTGGGATAAACAGGAAAACTGATAGCAGGAAGCAGAGATAGTAGAGAGAGTGGTATGAGAAGCAGTGTGGAGAGTGAAGTGGGTGTTTTGGACCAAAGTACTAATGTTGATCTGTGAGTGTCTGAGTTACTTGGTTGTTTTGTTTTTCAGTTCTTTCTCTCTCTTACTTTTTTGAAACGGTCACACACCCTTGAGTTGGTTGGTTCTCTTTTCTTACAAGAAAGAAAGAGAATAGAAAATTGGAGTGGTGAGTGAATGCAAAACCTAAGATTAATTAATACATTTTATGTATTTGTTTAATAGTTTTAAATAAACGGATACTTGGGGTTAGTGCGCGGGTATGAAGGAAGTTTGAATAAAACGCTGAATTCCATGAGAAGACTTGTGCTGTGCTGCTGCTCCTAACGTGCATTCTTCAGTCTTTATTAATGCTCTCATGGCTTATTCTGGCATACTTTCTCCCTTCACACGCTTATTCTTCCTTTCATTAACTTTTATCTGTCTTCTTTCAATATTTTTACTCAAGTTTTTATTAAATCACACGCATTATTAGTTATAATATTGTAAGAATAGTAAAATCATTAGGATTATCAAATAAATCGTAAAATTATATAAATTGTCATTTTTTTTTCTATATTATTTGTTTACATTATTAGATTAATGTAATTCATCTAAATAAAAGTTAAATTTAATTAAAATTTAAAACAATTAAAATTGATTTTTATACGTATTATGAGTATTAACACCATTCAACTAAAAAGAAATACAAATAAAACTCTCTTATATGTTTAATCAAATTAAAATTTAATATAATTACAAATTTGTCTTGGTATTATCACTTTCAACAACATCAAATATTCATCTACTTGAATAAATTTAAATTAAAATAAAATTCAATCTAATTTGATAAATGAAACTTTAATTAAAACAAAATTCAAATTCAATTAAAAATGAAGGGCGTTTTTTTTCCACACCACTCATCTTCAATGAATTTCAATCAATTAAAATAAAACACTCTTTTATGTTACATCTTAAAATCTATCATGGTTAAGATAGTAAGGAGTTCACAAAATGATTAATTGTATAAACTTAAGTTTGATGATTGATAGATTAATAATTGAATTGATTTTATTTTAATAATTTATCATTTATATCGTAGAAAGTAAAACTTTTACTATCCTAACCATAATCTCAATTTTAACTATCTTCTTTTATACATACATACATATATATATATATATACATACATATATATATATATATATACATATATATATATATATATATATATATATAT